GGGATCCAAACCTTCTTTGAGTACTGAAAAGCCCGGGGATCCAAACCTCCTTTGAGTAGTAAAAAGCCCGCATTTTCATTGCAAGTCCGGGTAAATCCCGGCTCACCTCTCACTGGGGGGGTCTCATGAAGTCTTGGAGGGTGGCTTGACAGGCCTCTAGCAACCTTGGTGTTGTCAGGAGCCCCGGCCCCTGCTCCCAATGATGGGGGCAACAAAGAGGCAGAGCCCGGGCCTACTGGCCCGTTGTTAGGTCCCAGACAGGTCCAGGAAAAACGTAGATCCTGGAATCTGCCAACCTCGGGTCCCATTGTTAGGTCCCACCGTTCTGTGGAGACGGTCGGCCGGGGGCCTCGTTCCAAGCCTCGAGCGCCCGCGCAACTTTAGGGTGGGGTCTAGGCGGTTTAGGGTTTAGGGGATACGGTTTAGGGTAGGGCTCTGAGTGCATCCTCGAAAGATCCTCGGCTATGAGCCGAAGAAAACTTATTCTAGGGCTCAGGGATAAGAAGCACTTAAGGGAATGCTTGAAGCTGTCTCAAGAAAAGGGAATTCAACCCTTGAAGGGTTGCAGGTTTCTTAACGGAACTTGGAACCCTACCAAACAATCACAATAATAACTGTTTCTTAGGAATCCTAGCACCCAAACATGACAACTTATTCCGAAGTATCCCGAAGGTTTAGGTGAACGGTCGGGGACTCCTCCGATGCCACTCAGCCCGGGGGCCTCCCAGGGTGCGACCTAAACCCTAAACCCTAAACCCTAAACCCTAAACTCACTGCCAAACCCTAAATCCTAAACCCTGAGTCGCACCCCTACAGTGCGGGGAGGGAAGCCCCTCGACCTCGATGGCGCAAGCCAACCCAGGTCGTTCGGCCGCCTCCCACAGCATGGGTTACAGTAGCACTAGGCTCGTGCTTCTGTGCTCCCCGATTCTTTTACTATACCCGATACCCTAAACCCTCAACCCTAAATCCTAAACCCTAACCCTAAACCCTAAACCCCAGGCCACACAAAAAGGGGCCCCAAAGAGGTAGATTCTTGGGGAGAGGGGGTTTAGGGTTAAGAGTTTCGCGCTTAGCAAACTTGAGAAATCGGGTTGGGGGGGGGTTGGTTCTCCTGACCAGATAGCTTGTGGTCAAGCCTTGCATGCGAACTCACGACTCTGACCATGGAAATCACGGCACTTTGCGTCCTTGCTTGCAACTTGGACACAGAGTATGCAATTCGTGCAGAAATAGAAGAAAAACACGACATGAACCGCCCAGTTTGAGCAAAGGCACGTTGATGCTCCCATACACGGCAATGGACGACGTGAAGATGAAGCACCGGACCCGGTGTTTTATGGCCTGGTTCAGGATCTCCACCTGGGATTCAGTACGAGGGTTCAGGGTTTAGGGTGCGTGGACGTGTTGTCTGCGGCGGAACAAAAAGTTGACGATTTGCGTGTCTTCATTGAATTGCAGATTAGGTTTAGATGGCTCTTTAAAACACGGCACCTATACCCCCAACCCCTATACCATTTTGCAAGCACTATATGAACACGATATGAACAACCCCCATGAACCTGTGAGTGAGCCAGGGAGGTTGGTGTAAGGTTTAAGGTTTAGGCTTTCGGGCATTAAGCGAATCCCTGGCGCGGCGCTGAGCCAACCAAGTTCGTGCGGTAGTTGTAGGAGCGAATGAAGTGGGACAGGCCTGAAGCGAGTGCGCGGGGCTGCAAAAGCAGTGCCAGGGTTCTCAGAAGGGCTCCAAGGGTGTAGTCCGCGCAACCCCAAAAAGGCCCTAAAAAGGAGAAGGGCCCTCGCAAGAAAACAACCCACAACAACCCGAAACCCGACTGCCCTAAGCCCAGTCGTAAACCCCAAGCCCTGTCAGCCCGTGACAGTGTAGACCCCGTAACCCAGACAGCCAGTAGATCGCGCTCCTAAAGCCGTACACGGCCCCTAAACCCCTAACCCTAAACCCTAAACTCTAAACCCTAAACCCTAAACCCCTAATGACATCCTAAAATCCCCACATCCCTTTACCCTAAACCCCTAAACTTGACAAACTCGCCTCGCACTGCCTCACACCCTACACAATTCGAGAAACCCTAAACCCTAAACCCTAAACCCCAAACCCTAAACCCTCCTAAACCCTAAACCCTAAACCCCACCTTCTGCAGCGTACGCCGCCAAGTGGTACACGAAATGGATCTCGTGCTCTTGAAAGATGGCTTCAAGGAGCTCCTTGGCTTTCGGTAGGGTTTAGGGTTTAGGGTTTATAGGGGTTAGGGTTTAGGGTTTAGGGTCTAGGGTCTAGGGTTTAGGGTTTAGGGTTTAGGGCTTGGTATAGAGTTGACCGCAGGGTCTTACGGAATGACTATGGAACTATAGGTAGACCAACATGGGCTTGGGCTAGAATTAGGAAACGCTTCGTATCCCAGAGTGGCGCGCTAAGTGGATCTGCTGGGTGATACTCAGACTCTACGACGCATTTCGGGCTTAATACTCGGGGCTCACAGTAGCAGGAAGATGACACCCAATCGCAAAAAAGTCCTTAGTGAGCTTGGGGTTTAGGGGGTTTAGGGGGTTTGGGGGTTTAGGGGGTCTAGGGGGTTTAGGGTTTTGGGGGTTTAGAGCTTAGGGCGTGTGTCTCAAGATGAGGGTAACTTACACACGTCCTTGGCAGCATCCGAGGAGCGGCATCGCGAATGTCTCCTCTGCTTCGGGTCTAGGGTCTAGGGTCTAGGGTCTAGGGTCCAGGGTCTAGGGTCTAGGGTCTAGGGTCTAGGGTCTAGGGTCTAGGGTTTAGGGTTTAGGGTTTAGGTGAAACTCTACCCCCCAAAACCCTACACCCCCCAACAAAACCCTACATCCTGAACCCTGAACCCTCAAAACCCTTAAGCCCGACCCCCCTAAACCCCACTAGACTAAAGAGGGTGCCCTCTTTGGGTTTAAAGACTTTTATAAGTGAACCCAAACCCTAAGGAAAGGGAATAAGGGCCTCTGGGTCCTAGCGTCACCCGAATCCAAACCTCTGGGCCGCTTTGAGGTGGGTTTCTGGGACTGAGCTGCGCTGCAGGTCTGGAGGTTTATGGTTTGGTGTTTGGGGTTTAGGGTTTAGGGTTTAGGGCTTAGGGTTTGAGGATTTGGGATTGAGACTTTGAAGAGGCAGTCAGTCGAGAGTGTGTAGGGAGTTTGGGGTCTAGAGGCCCTAGGAGTTTGGGACTGTGACTTGAGCGCAACCCTAAACCCTAAACCCTAAACCCCAAACCCGAAACCCTAAACCCAAAAACAAGATCATCAGGTATTCAAATGGAATTCGTTGAACTAGCCAACGTCTCCTCCGGGACACCCCAAACCCTAAACCCAAAACCCTAAACCCTAGACCCTAAACCCATGGCAGAAAACCAGCTAGCAGAAAGCTCTCGTAAGCTGTCCACGTAGAACTGCCGGCTCTAAGCCGACAGCATTTGGCCTGCCACTCCTACTTCTGAGGGTGGCTTTACTTTAGTGGGCTTTGGAAAAAAGCCCTAAACCCGAAACCCTGGACCCTAAATCCTAAACTCTAAACCGAGAAGGTGATACCCCGGGCCTAAGTGCCCATATACGACTAGATGAAAATCCTAAAAACCCATCTAAACCCTAAACCCTAAACCCTAAACCCCAAACCCTAAAACCCTAAAACCCTAAAACCCTAAAACCCTAAAACCCTAAAACCCTAAAACCCTAAACGGGCTTGGGGTCTTGGGCGCCGCTACTTCCGCCAGGGCTTCGGCGGTGTAGGGTGCAGTCTCTTTCGTTTTTCTTTTTCTGTTTTCGTTTTTTTGGTTGGGGGGTGTGGTGGGGGGGGGGGGGGGGGGGTTAGGGGTTAGGGGTTAGGGGTCAGGGGATAGGGGTGAGGGTTTAGGGTCTAGGGTCTAGGGTTTAGGGTTTAGGGTTTAGGGTTAGGGTTTAGGGTTTAGGATCTAGGATCTAGGGTTTAGGGTTTGGCTGGGCGCACCAGCAAGAAGCGCTCACCCCAGACACGAAACAAGGCCTCAGAAATAAGATCCTGAGAAAACCCAGGAGCGGAAAGTGTAGCCCTAAACCCTAAACCCTAAACCCCTAAGCCGGCCCTAAACCCTAAACCCGCAACCCTAAAGCCGTAAGCATGCCAAAAGCCCAAACCTTAACCGTCAAAGTGTCCGTTGATGAAGGTCACGCCCGAGGGGACATTCGACTGAAAGCCGCCAGAAAGATCATCCATGGCCTGGGATGTTGGTAGCCCAGGAACCATTTATTATAGGTTTAGGGTTTAGGGTTCAGGGTTTAGGGTTAGGGTTTAGGGTTTAGGCTTTAGGGTTTATTTTGAAGGGAACCTTGAACCCAAAGAAGGGAAAAGGGTACCACAGGCTACCAAGGGATGTGGGGTTCAGGATTTCAGGGTTGACATGGGGGTCTGGAGCCTCCTAATTATGGGCTAACGGAGTATGACACCCACAGGGATGTTCCCTCAAACAAGAGCTCCGAAAACCTAGGTGCTTTAAACCCTTTTTGCCGTACCCTAAGACCCCACATCTATCCAGTACGCTGAACCCAAAATCTAACTCAAACCTTGTTGCCTGAGTCTACCTCAAGACCTCAAGCTCTGGACAAAACCCACTGTGTTAACCAGACAGCTTGGTAGCCCATACTATAATGAATAAGGGCACCTCTGCTTGGGTTGGCTATTTTGTAAGGGAAACCAGAACCAAAAAAAAAAAGGGTAAAGGGTACCACTGGGCTACCAAGGCAGTCATTGACTCAAGTCTTTTCCGGACATCCCTTTGCGCCAGAAGACGACGTCCGTCTCATTTGAGACTTGCACAATCAGCTTGGTGGAGGAGGGGGGGGAGTGCTTTTGCACTACTGTCCTTCTGATGTAGATTATGCACATTTCCCTAACTTAGCATCTAAGTCTAGGCAGGGATCCTGACAACCTAGGCCAACTTGCAATAGCAGGGACGATTCGAAACACAAGCGCGTCACTCCTGATTCTATCAGCTTCCCTGGGATGTGAGGGGCTCACGCTGGGAGGGGCAAGGCTTTGATATCTTTGACCGACCTTCGAGCCAGGCACACAGGACCCCCAGAGCCTCCAGGGCCGCGAAGGCTCCAACTTGTTGCCTCACATTTCCTTGGCTGGCCCTTAGTTTAAATTAAAGCCCTCTGAAGGATACTCCAGAATATGATCCTCTTAAACCCAATGTAAGGGGAAATACAACAATGTCCCCAGGGCCTACCGAGCTTCTCATGCACACCAGGGCCTGTTCTGAGCCTCCGGCGTGCGAGAAGTCCTGTGGTATGACCAGAGCAAAGTTGAGGTAGTTGAGGATTCCCCAGAGAAACAGCAGGAAGCACGACGTGAGCGAATGCCCGAGCATGTAGACCGTGATGAGGAACACGGTGCCCAAAGCTCCACACATCCGCCCCATGGCCTCGAACCAAACGGTTTAGGGTTTAGGGTTTAGGGTTTACGGGTTTAGGGTTTAGGGGTTTAGGGGTTTAGGGGTTTAGGGGTTTAGGGGTTTAGGGGTTTAGGGGTTTAGGGGTTTAGGGGTTTAGGGTTTAGGGTTTAGGGTGGCCTTGAACCAAACGAGCTGGTCGGGCTCCTGTTGTGGCATCCCCTCCGTGGTAAACGGATCAGCCATGCAATCTGCCGAAAGAATCGGAGCAACCATACCCAGGACCTTGAGGACTAAATGAACGCTGAAAGGGCTTGCGGTTCATATACCTTAGTAGGAATGATAGCAGTCAGGGTATATGACCCCAACTATATAGGGTTCCTTTAAGTTCCGTTGCTCCCCAAGGGACGGTGGTCATTCCGCCGAAGATCAGGATGAAGTAGTAGATCGACACGGAGATCTTTCCGCTCACGGACTCCTGCGCGCGAAACTGCTCCACGAGGGAGGGCATAGCTCGGTGACCTGCTCTGGCCTTTTGGGTGCCTCTTGAAAAAAGCAGCTGCGGGAGCGGAACCATAGGAGCAGAAATGTTCCAGGGTTTATGGGCTTAAGGTTTAGGAGTTTGGGGTTTAGGGTTAGGCGTTGAGGGGTTTAGGGTTTAGGGTTTAGGGGTTTAGGGGTTTAGGGTTTAGGGTTTAGGGTTTGGGTTTAGGGTTGCGCACTTGGGGTTGCTCACTTCGGTTCGTGTGAGTGCGCGCGCGCACGCTCCCGCCTTCCCTCACTTTTTGTCTCCAAAGGGCTGCAGACTTGCATGAGCCTAGACCCTAAACCTTTAAACCCTAAACCCTAAACCCTAATAAACCCTAAACCCTAAACCCTAAACCCCAAACCCTGAACCCTAAACCCCACGCTTCTTATGCAAAGCTTCATGAGGCTTGGCGATATGCGGGATTAAGACATCCGCCTGACAAGGTAAGCATACATACGTACATACGTACATACATACATACATGCATACATACATACATGCATACATACATACATAGTATATGCATACACACACACACACACACTAATTAGACCCCGGAGCCTTAAACCGTTCCTAGAGTCGCTGCTGCAAATTCACTCGATAAAGGCTGGAGCGGAGCGGATGCCACAAAGTCTGCAGGTAGCCCTCTCGAACAGCTGACACCCTAGGGTTCAGGGCTCAGACTTGGGTTTAGGGATGTTTAGGGTTTAGGGTTATGGTTCGTCCAGGCCTCCAAAACCCACTCCGCTCAACCCGTTATGAGTCAATCTGCGGATTAGGGCTAGGGTTTATGGCTGAGGCGCCTCGGCGTGTTGACACTGAATATACAGATAATGATAACAATACTACGACTCAGAATAATAAACATGATAATCATAATAGTAATGATAACAATAATAATCATCATGGTAATTAACAATAATAACTATAACCATAGCAATAACCATGGCAATAATGAATCATATGAATACTAATAATAATGATTATGATGATGATGATGATGATGATGAGAAAAACAAACAATAGCCATACTCATAAACATAATTACAATCTATCTATATATATATATATACATTTCTATGTATCTATTGATTTAAATTCATGTGTACAAAGCAGTACTATAGGGTGATATCGGCTTACACAGGTACTTGGGCCTCTTGAAGCCAAGGTGTTTGCGAATCAACCCTGGCTCAGAGGATCCCGACTTTAGAGCTGGGGTTGTCAACGAACACGACATCCCTAAACCCTATGAGCCCTAAACCCTAAACCCTAAACCCTAAACCCTAAACCCTAAACCCTAAACCCTAAACCCTAAACCCTAAACCCTAAACCCTAAACCCTAAACCCTAAACCCTAAACCCTAAACCCTAAACCCTAAACCCTAAGCCCTAGCCCTAAACCTGAAGCCCGCAGCCACTTCGCCCAAGCTGCCAGGACGTTCATGCCCAGGTCGCGACAGTGCCTCTGCGAAGCAACGACCGTTGAGGGCTCAGGCTTTTCAGGGATTCAGTCTGAGGGCTCTAAACCCTAAACCCTAAACCCTAAACCCTAAACCCTAAGCCCTAAACCCTAAACCCTAAACCCTAAACCCTAAACCCTAAACCCTAAACCCTAAACCCTAAACCCTAAACCCTAAACCCTAAACCCTAAACCCTAAACCGAAACCCTAAACCCTAAACCACTGCTTGCGCCACACCAGTACCTCTGCGGATGGCTGGCGACCGAACCCGGGATGAAACCCTCAACGGTTTGGAACAACGAGTCGCAAAGAGAGCTGGTGAAGCGCAGGTAGCTGGCCTAACCCTAAACGTTCAACCTTAAACCCATGAGCCCAAAATCCCTAATTTGGGATGTTCGCCTTTATACCAACAGTTCTTAAGAGGGACTACAACAAGGGGTACTATCATCCCTATTAAGGACTGTTAGTATAAGGGGGAACATCCCAACCCCCAACTAATCCTTGTACCCTAAATCCTAACCGTTCAACTAACCCCTAAACCCCAAGTGTTGAACAAACGAGTCTCCCCAAGCCATGGACGCCCTTCCCTCGTGCCTTGCGACATGGCTGCCGATAAAACCCGCCGCTCCAGTCACCTCGCGATATCTGGGTTGAGTTTGCGGCTTAGGGCTTAGGGCTTAGGGCTTAGGGCCTAGGGCCTAGGGCCTAGGGCTTGGGCTGAGGGCTGAGGGCTGAGGGCTGAGGGCTGAGGGCTGAGGGCTGAGGGCTGAGGGCTGAGGGCTGAGGGCTGAGGGCTGAGGGCTGAGGGCTGAGGGCTGAGGCTGAGGGCTTAGGGCTTAGGGCTTATAGGGCTTAGGGCTTGGGGCTTGGGGCTTAGGGCTTAGGGCTTCGGGTTTAGGCCGTCCTTGTGTAGTTGCAGCGGCTACCCCCCGAGCCCTTTTACCCGTAAATCCTGAATTCCCTCAGCGATCGATAAGGCCCTGAATTGATTGCAAAACCTACACAGGCCAAAACCCTTACCATGCAAAGCCTAAACAGAAACCCCAAACACTGCTAAATCCTACTAGTAGGTAATGCAAACCGTGTACCCTAAACCAACTTATCATTACAGGGAACCTAACTTATAGAAGCTTGGGGAGCCTTCGGGAGTAGTGGGGAGTACTAGGGAAACCTTGGGTCGCACCCTTGAGCCTCCCTCCCTTAAGAACACAATAACAATCACCTAAACTCTACAGCCTGAACCCTAAACCCTGAACCCTTAAGACCGAAATCCCTTCAACCTAACACCCTCAGCCCCGACTCTCCCAAAAACGAAACCCCCAACTCGAAGATCACAATATTCAAACTTATGACAACAATCTTCAAGCACGTTATTTACAACAAGAGCGAGCTTATCACAGCTTCATGGTGGCTTTGACGTTTGGGCTTCTGCATCCGAGGTGTCGGGACGAAAGGTTGAGGGTGGTAGGCTTGAAGGTACAGGGTTTACGGTTTAGTACTCAGTGCTTAGGGCTTGGGTTGTTGTAGAAAGCCCTCACACAACGCCCTGAAAACTCCAAAGTCTCTAAAAATTTGCCCCCCGAACCCTAAACACCTAAACCCCAAAACCACGGTTTTCAGGCTCAGGGTGTAGCCTTGAAACCCTAAACCCTAAACCCTAAACCCCAAGCCCCAAGCCCCAAGCCGCCCGAAGCCCTAAGCCCTAAGCCCTAAGCGCCCTAAGCCCTAAGCCCTAAGCCCTAATTAAGCCCTAAGCCCTAAGCCCTAAGCCCTAAGCCCTAAGACCTAAGACCTAAGCCCTAAGCCCTAGCCCCTAAGCCCTAAACCTAAACCCTAGCCCCTAAGCCCTAAACCCTAAACCCTTGAACTGCACAAGTGGCCAGTGTCTGCCAAGGGTCGAGGGCAGTCTGTCCTTTGGCCGCATGCCGGTCCTTCGTCTGGGGTTGAGGGTTAGGATCCAGGATAGGATTCGACGCACTTCCCCAAACCATTTGGAGCCTAAACCCTAAACCCTAAACCCTAAACCCTATTTGGGGAGCATCAGTCCGGAGTTCAAAGACCAGAGCCCTAAACCCGAAAGCCTCGCCAGGAACCTCTCTTTATAGAAGGCGTACAGGGTTTAGGGTTCAGGGTTCAGGGTTTAGGGTTTAGGGTTTAGGGTGCAAGTTTTGACCGATTTGTTTGCTCTGAAAAGGCTTGAAAGCGTGATTTTGAGCCTTGCAAAGGCCTGAAAACGGGACTTGGAGCCTTGAAAAGGCTTGAAAACAGGACTTGCCCTCCTCTGTTCTCCTTCATTAAGGGCGAACATAGGGATAATGGCCCTGGGAGAGCATAAGGTACATGGACCCCTGCTGCTGCCCTTCAATTCTGGACGAACACAAGGTAATAAGGTCCATACTCCTCCTAGGTTTAGGGTTTAGGGTTTAGGGTTTAGGGTTTAGGGTTTAGGGTTTAGGGTTTAGGGTTTAGGGTTTAGGGTTTAGGGTTTAGGGTTTAGGGTTTAGGGTTTAGGGTTTAGGGTTTAGGGTTAGGGTTTAGGGTTTAGGGTTTAGGGTTTAGGGTTTAGGGTTTAGGGTTTAGGGTTTAGGGTTTAGGGTTTAGGGTTTAGGGTTTAGGGTTTAGGGTTTAGGGTGCCCTCCTCGGTTTCTTTTCAAGTAAGGCAAACATAAGGTTCATTGCCTCCTTTGGGCCTCCTTCAATTAAGGGCAAACATAAGGTACAAGGTCCTCTTGTGTTCTCCTTCAATCAAGGGCGATTATGAGGTATATGTGCCCCCCCTGTATTGTCTTCCAATTGAGTGCGAACATAAGCCTACTCTTTTGGTGGAGGATTTTGAAGAAGGTTTACCCACATACACCTTCTACTCATTGTTGGCTTGAGGGTTTAAAGTTTGGGGTTTGGGGATTAGGGTTAGGGTTTGGGGGGTCTCATCACGTTTGCTCAGGAGGTCAGGGGGGGCTGATGTGGGTGCAGCAAGATGTTGGGGCTGTGAAACCCGGTTCCAGGGAGAGTCCGGGGGCTTTCAGGTTCAGGGTTTAGGGCTTTCAGGTTCAGTGTTTAGGGTTTAGGATCTAGGGTTTGGGGTTTGGGGTTTAGGGTTTAGGGTTAGGGTTAGGGTTTAGGATCTACGACCAGCTGCCTCCTCCGAGAAGGTGAGGGCAGGCAGCACATCATCGGGTCTGATGCAGGGGAGCAGCAGCGCCTGGGCGGGGGAACTTCGGACTTGCGAAATCTACCCTTAACAAAGGTTCTTAGGGTTTAGGGTTTAGGGCTAGGGTTCAGGGTTTAGGGTTTTAGGGTTTAGGGTTTAGGGTCTGTTGAACAAAGACAAAAAAATCCTCCTAGAACCATCCGACACGCCGCCGGGGTCGGCGAGTCGGCGGACAAGCCCCAAACCCCAAACCCCCAACCCGCAACCCCAAACCCTAAACCCAAAAAAAAACAAAGAAACCAAAAAAACAAAAAACCGAAAACCCCAACCTGGTCTGGCAGCAGGACCTGAGACCCGAAGGGTAAGCCCTGGACGGCTGAGGCATTGTTCGCTCTCGGTTTGTCGTCGACCAAAGGGGCTGCAAACCACCGAGAGCTC